TTTTAAGCATGTCTCTCTCCTCCATCTCATGAGCAGGACCCGAATTCATTGAGTGACATTATCACTCCCGAAAATCATTTTTTCGTTGCCTAAGGCGGCATTGACATCCATAATCGAAACACGAAGTCTTAAAATCTTCGATAAACAAAAGCGGGACGCTTACAGCGTTGTCGACTCTAATGGCACGAGCTTATAAGTGTCACGCTGACATCGATACAATAACAGCCCAATTTTGAACATCGACCCCAATGATCCTTAGACTCGATACTATTATCGCTAACACTACCGAGCTGGGAAGCTAACTGTTGGGGTCGGATTTCACCCGCTCGACCTTAATGTTCAAAGTTTGGTTAGCATAACAACGTACATTGAATTACTTTGACCTCTAAGAGAACATATGGTTCCTAAGTCGTTTCAAGTCAAGTCTTTTCCGACCCTAAGTCTTCTCCACCTACGAGGCGAAGTCTTCTCCGTCTGCAAGGTGAAGTCTTCTCCGCTTGCAAGGCGAAGTCTCCTCCGCCTGCGAGGTGAAGTCCTCTACGACGATGACATCGGCGCCACTGTTCACATCGGCGCCACTGTTCACATCGAGTCACTATTCATCTCGGGTCACTATTCACCTCGGGTCACTATTCACCTCGGGTCACTATTCATCTCGGTGCATTATTCACATCGGGCCAGTGTTCACATCTTGTCACGTCTCCGGGGCGAGCAACGAAGTCATCCAAGATCTGATGGCATTGGACCCGATGGGGATGAACCCAATGACCGATGTCTACGGTGGCACGAGGAGGACTCGAGTCGATGACCTCTCGACACTTACGTAATGGCGGTGACGATCAACTGGGTTGGGCTTCGCCTCTAGACCAGTTAAGATGGCAAGCCCAGATATCTCCAGGAAACGGACGTAACACCCACGGGAGCCTGGAGCCTCAAGACCGAAGCCCAGTCCAGTCACGAAACCCACTTCGGCGAAACCGACATAGGCGAAAAGAGAATCCGCGAAGACTTAGGAAATCTAGCGGACTTAGGAACGTTATATATAGTTG